TACAAAAATAGGCTAAGAATTCACTTTGAATGAAGAAATTGAGAATATTGTGGTGTTCAGTGGTCGGTTATTGAACAAAATCAAAATCAAATCAACTTAATCGGTTTTAAAATTATCAAAATCAAACTAAATCTAATCTAATATAATATATATTTATCGATTTGGTTTTTATCGGTTTCGAATTGGTTTGGTTTGATTATTTGGTTATTAATCATATACGTAAAATTAAAAGAAATAATTCATTTAAAACGTTAAAAAAAAGACAATAATCCATTCAAAACAAAAATAGTTGAATGATTAAAACTTTCGATCACTGAATTTACCGTAAATAAAGCTTCAAAATTCACTATGTTTTGCCTAGAAGGAGATATTGACATTTTTAGTCCCACAAAAAAAATTGTCATAGACACTCATATACATGAAATCAATTAGGTAAATGCTCTCACCTTGAACATTTTTACCTTCATAAGTAAATTATAAATAAATTTTGACTAATACACATATAAGATCTTTAAAATTATTTATAAAAATAATATAGTATGCATGTTAAATAATAAAATAAAATTTATGTATCTTATTATCGGTTAGATTTCGTTATTTTAATTTTTTTCGAATAAAATTATAACTGAACCAAATATTATTAGGTTTTTAAAAATCTAAAACCAAACCCTAAACAAAATCAATTCATTTAATCGGCTTGTTTTAGTTTTTAACGAATACGTATCGATGAATATAGTTTGTATTGATGAATACTATCTGCATGTATGCAGAGATAGAAACAACAAAAAAAATCAGAGACTATATTCTTTCACTCTAATAATTGTACTTGTATTCGTTTATTCTTATATCATTTGTATTCATGTCACTTTTCGATTGTATCACAAATAGTATACAAATATATAAACAACAAAAAATATTAGGAACTCTGCGCATTCACTTTAATTTCACTTGTAATTATTAATTGTTGTATCGCTTGTATTCATTTGTTCATGTATCACTTATATTCATGCGCATATTTAAATTGACTTAACAAATATCAGGTGTATATGAATATACAAAAACAAAAAAAAAGAATATAAGAGACTATAAGAGAAAGGCAAGCTTATTAGAAGAAAGCGTGAAAGATACTAGAGAACACGAATACACCTGATACATATAGCATTCGATGAATATCAATTGTACCAACAAATATAGTAATTTGATAAATACATCGTAAGATAGATTGATACATGTATCAACTAATACAATGTGATTCATCTATTATTTCAATCTATGTGAAGGTAATCGTAGAGCAACGGTCAAAACAGAGAACATGTTTGTCATCACGCAAAAAATCCAAAAAAAAGAAAAACTAACTATGAGATTTGTACTTAAAGGGGTAGTTGGTTTTAATTTTAAGATAGTTTATAAGCTAAAAGTCATACGTGAATCCTATCTAAAATTTGATTCTTAGCTTATTTTTGTGTGTTTATTTTCTAAAAGTAAGTGCTTAAAATACTTTTTTATAATTACCAGATTTATGAAATAAAAATGAATTCAAAATTAAAAATCACTTATAATAAGTCAATTCAAATACTCTTCATGAACATTTTTGCGGGATTTATACATATTACCATTATAAATGAGGCATTTCCCCTAGCACAAACTAATACAAACATGACTAGCTAATTTGATGTATGTGTTTATTTTCATAAGTTCACTCTCTAAGCTTTTAATGAAAACTTATATGATTGTTGAGAATGAATATAAACTATTAAAAGAATTATAGTGTAAGAAGTTAATCTCTAACTGACAAAGTAAATTTAAAGTATTTGCGAAAGACAGAAAAGAAACTAAAGGAAATATTCATCGATCTTAGAAGTTAACTAATTCCAACATATCATTTGTCTATAAGTTGATATATACTTTTTTGGAAAAATAATGTTCTAAATGGTTGAAATAACTTTGTGTCAACCTATTCTCATTGACAAATGACATTACATAAATAAAATATAACATGTTGCTATGTAAAACGTAGTGTTGTACGGTTAAGTGACCAATGAAGTCAACCTCCTTTCTATGAGAATATTCTTGTAGAGCTATAAAATTTATGATAAGACTTTGATGGCATTTATCAAGAGGAAGAAATCACAAAATTAGTGTTTTTTAATTTAGTATTTGATACTATAAGGTAACATTTAATATAATAATTAGTGATACACTGTCTATAATCCATTGCCAACAAGTTGCAAGCTTGCAATGCCACTTAGTGGAGCAGCATAATGTTAGATTCATTGAAAAATTGACTAGAGGTAATCTAAGCTTGATACTGTTGGTTTATTAATCATCAATTTTATTTAACCCCTAAGCAAATTTATAAATTGATCAACCACCAACCTCCTCCTCTCACCCATATGCATTTATACCAATCTCTTAATAATTCTCAATCTAAGAATGCATTATGAATTTCAATAATTTGGTTCACATGTACATTTTGGAATAATGGAAAATTTAATGATATTCCTTGAACCAAATGTAACATAATAATTCATCACATTATTATGTAACATATGATTATATATAATTTATGACTATATTTTCAGTCTCTTACTTACATGAATAATTATATTATTTCTTTTCGATAGAAAGATTCATCGTCTATAGATAATTGAATAAGGTAATAGTCGGTTCTCTTTCATTTCAAACAGGTAAATTAATGTAATTCCACAAATTAAAGTTTAGAAAGGTAAAATGTAAACAAATATACTAAGATAGAGAAGTTATTTTCGATTGACCATCAACAACCCTCCTTATTTATCCAGATTTGAAACCGAGAATGTAAATGAGCTCAGATGTACGATAGCTTAAAAATTATTGGCGACAATGACATTGATAAAGCAAAATGAAAATGTAAGGCTTATAAGCGTGGGGAGAGTACCTATAGTTTGAACTTTGAAGATAGTGCTCTGCATTACGCATAAAACACGAAGAAGATATTAGCTTAGCTGTATATTTGACTAATGTGAGGACCTCGTCAAATTAAAAAACAAAAACTGTAATTATTATCAAATTTATGTATCCAAATCAGCTATGTTTAATTATTTTATCTGATTAGAAAAATAGAAAGAAATATTATCGCTTGTCCAATAGCTAAGTTATTGGGACAGCAATACTTTCGGAGACTAATAATTCGGTTATATAAGATAACTCTTTACCAATTTTCTCAATTGTCCCTGACACTTATATCACTGGTAATAATTATATTCTTCATAGTTTTCATTTTTTTTTTCTTCTTGAATGTCATATAAGTTTAGATTCTTGGTTGAATTGTGGTGTCGTTATGTTATTTAGCTTGAGTTATATTCGATGTTCATTTTCATAACATGTTATCAAAGACGAGCTCAATGTTAGCTAGATTGTCCCGATGATTGAACAATTGTCTCCATGTATGATTTTCGCGATCATGAATTAGTGCCTATTTTTGTTGGTTTTTTCTTCTCTAATTTTGCTTTGTTTGTTTGTTTGAAAAGGTGTAGGAATTCAGCAAGAAAAGATTAAACCTCTAATTTGTCACAAACTATAACCAATATCTCCAGCTAGCTTAATTCAATCATGAGTGAGTACAAGTCAGGACCTCTTGAAAGACCTGTCAGGCCAAGTAAGTTTTGTGTTGTTGTTTAGTCTATGGCTATGTTGATTGTTAGGTTAGCATATGGCATCTGCTTATGTTAATTTTTGCTATTTGACAGGTCTAGAGAAGTTTGATATGGATGCAGAAGATGAGAGGAAGACAAGGCTTGGGTCTATCAAGAAAGCGGCAATTAATGCCTCCACCAAGTTTAGAAATTCTCTAACAAAAAGGGGTCGTAGAAACAGCAGAGTCATGTCTGTCGTTGTTTTAGAAGATGAGCATGACGCGGAGGAACTAAAGGCAGTTGACGCCTTACGCCAAGCTCTCATCCTTGAAGAATTACTTCCTGCTAAACATGATGATTATCATTTGATGCTAAGGTGCGTTTTCTATTGTCATCATCAGATCATGTGTTAGTTAGCCCTTTTCCATCTATAATAATAAATAACATGTGAAATATGACAGATTCTTGAAGGCTAGAAAGTTTGACATTGAGAAAACAAAGCAGATGTGGGCTGATATGCTTCAGTGGAGGAGGGAATTCGGTGCAGACACCATCACAGAGGTATTTTTGATCAATGCTATAATCTCAAGTTTGTAGGAACTGATGATGATGATGTTTTGTGCATCTTGATCAGGATTTTGACTTCAAGGAAAAGGAAGAGGTCCTAAAGTACTATCCACAAGGCCATCATGGAGTTGACAAAGAAGGGAGACCAGTTTACATTGAAAGAATTGGTCAAGTAGATTCGGTCAAGCTATTACAAGCCACAACAATGGACCGATACCTCAAGTATCATGTACAGGAGTTTGAGAGGACCATTAATGATAAGATGCCAGCCTGCTCACTTGCTGCCAAAAGACACATTGACACAAGCACAACTATCCTGGATGTCCAAGGAGTGGTATGATCATAGCATAAATTTTTCACAATCAGTGTGAACCTGCCTCATTTTTCGGGTTACTAATACAACTTACATGAACGCCTGCCTCAGGGACTTAAAAACTTCAACAAATCAGCAAGGGATCTCATTCAACGCCTCCAGGCTATTGATGGAAACAATTACCCTGAGGTACAACAGGGCAGCCATTCATGTCATATGTTAAAAAGAGTTTTTTAAGTACTCATGTTTAATTAAATCACGCATTCAATTTCTAGAGCTTGTGCCGAATGTACATCATCAATGCTGGCTCTGGATTCAGGCTCTTATGGAATTCCGTCAAGTCATTCCTTGATCCAAAGACCACTCAAAAGATCCATGTAAGCTCATACTCAACCACAAGTCTAAGCACTATTTTTGTCTGTCAAGTAGTATAACACAAGTCTCATTGTGTTTTTTCTAGGTTCTTGGCAATAAATATCACAGCAAGTTGCTTGAAATAATTGACGCAAGGTATCTCTATAACTTGAGCTGAAATTATACATTTTGAGACTAGATTATCTGCATAGAGCCTAATGATGGTTTGATATCGTACCAGTGAATTGCCAGAGTTCTTAGGTGGAACATGTACTTGTGCTGATAAAGGAGGTTGCATGGTTTCTGATAAAGGTCCATGGAATGATCCAGAAATTATGAGGGTAACTTTCAACTTTGCAATTTTGCATTCAGAAGATCATTAATACTAATAAACGAATTCCTAATTAGTAATTTTGTACCTTTGAGACTGCTAGTAGTATTACTTATCTCTGAAATCTGTGATTGATTTGATTGATGCATAGATGGTTCGCAATGGTGAGCATAAATGTTCACACAAATTTGTGATCTCAATGGATGAGAAAACTATCCCAGAGGATGACAATGCCAACACCAAGGTGTGTATTATTACTGCAGTTACTTTTATTCTTCATTAAAATATATTGGATGAGTAACAAAGTCCCTCAATGTTGCAGAAGAGCACTTCTTTTAGAAAGGAAACTGACTCTTCAAAGGTTCAAAGGGATAATGGCCAGCTTTCCCCTGTCCGTGAGGAAGTAAGTTGCTTCTTCATCCACAACTTTTCCGACTTCTTTTAGCTTCTTTACAGTGCTATACCTTAATCTAAATTCTACGTTTAATTGGTTTTGCTTTTTCAGTTTGATATCCCTATCGTGGACAAGGCTGTCTATGCGACTTGGCCTAAACAAGTAAAAGCTGGCCCCTTAGCTAATTCTAAAGGTATAAGTCCCCCGAGGAAATGAGATAGCTTTAGTGGTTTGAGTTCAGTCCAAAGTTTAGTATTTTTCTCTACCTGCTCATTCCTCTGTGCTATATTAACATGTATTCCTTTTTCGAGCAACAGATTTCTTCCCTGTCCACGATGCTTGTAAGTCATCGGAAGGATTTGGCAATCCTGTTTTCAGTGGAGTGATGACTTTAGTGATGGGCATTGTGACATTGGTTAGGATGACTAAAAACATGCCAAGGAAACTTACAGATGCTACACTCTTGGCTGGTTCTTTGTATAGTGCTGACATGATTAAAGAACAACAGACTCATGGACATGTCATCTCGACAAAAGATTACATTAGCATGATGAAACGCATGGAAGAACTCGAGGATAAGGTCATTACTCTTAGCCAGAAACCTTCTTCTATGCCACCTGAGAAAGAAAACATGCTTAACGCTGCCATTAACCGAGTTGGTACTTTGGAGGAAGAACTTTTAGCTACCAAGAAGGTATTAACTGCTTTTCTTCAGATTACATTGAAATCTTTTATACTCCATTGCCTAATAAACTTTTTGCTTACTTTTGAACTGACAGGCTCTTGATGAAGCTCTTGTTCGTCAACAGGAGCTCCTATCCGTCCTTGAGAAGAAAAAGAAGAAGAAGAAGTTTTTTGTTTTTTAAGTTTGAATTTCTTTAGATAGATGTAGAGATGGTGATTTCATTTTTTGGCCCAAGAAAGTTTGTTCGAATGATCTCTCACGTATTTGTAAAATTTTAACTCTTTAAAAACTTAAACATTGTTTACATTACCTGTTGTGCTATTCACCAGCACAACTGCAGTAAGCTTTGTTCTATCTTCTTCGGCGAGATTTACTGTTCACCCTCTCCATTGGAGCTCTAATTGTAAATGCCATATATTATGGCACATTACAGATACATCAGCTTGTATTTTTTTTTTCTGTAAATAAAGATGGAAGCAGTTTGCTGTTGGCTTTTGTTCATATTACAGTCTTGTTTTCCATGACAGCAACATTTTTCACTACACACATTTTGTTTTAATTGAGCTTTTAGCATTTTCATTATTTCACTTCAATTCACACAAATGGAGAAATGCTCCATTCCATAAGTGTAAAAAGGAATTAAAAATCACAACCCTTTTAGAAAAGGTTGGTGCATTTCTACTTGAATATAAGGTGGCATGAGGTGATTGTGAATCACATCACCTTCAAGTGTTACATCAACAACTACTACACCTCAATCTCGAACAAGTTAAAGAGTCAACTATATGATCCAGACTTTCTTCAGAATGTCAAAAACAAACACACAACAAACTTAAAAGAAACTATAATTTTTCACATTATGAGCAAGTGTTCACCTCATTTTGTAAATGAAATACACGATCCAAAAAGGAAAAACTTAACACAGATGCACTGCACAATGACTGGGAGTATTGACAACACATTACAAATATATATCTCATTCGAGATACTACAGTGGAAAATCCGAGATCCCTGTCCTGAACCATCGTCCATCTTAAAAGCAAAACTTCTTCTTTTTCTGCAGAACAAAGCATTAAAGATGCAAATTAGCAACAAAACTCAATTTAATGGACCACACGAATACACCAACTTAATAGCACAGAGAGGAAAATGCACGCATGTTCCTGCTCAAAAAAACTTCATTGCTCATATTAGTTTTTCTTCTCAGCAAGTAAAAAGAGTATGGCAACAATCCTAACAAGGGTAAAGTCCTACTATGATGATATTCAACTACCACACAATAACAGAAACTCACCTGGAACTTGGCAGCTTCTTGACTGTCAATGTAAGCGAGAAGTTCTTCTTGCCTCATCAATGCCTCATGTAATGCCTGTTCAACCATAAACAAGCAGGAAAAAAGTTATCAACTCAAGAACGGGATTTCCCTTTGTCTATTTAGAGAGACACCATAGACTGTTACCTTCTTGGTTGCTATTAACTCAGCTTCTAGGGCATCCACCCGGCAAACAGCTGCATTTAGCAATTCCGCCTTTTCATAAGGCATCTCAGATGGCTTTTCTTGAAGAGTATTTACTTTGTCTTCAAGTTCGCCCAGTCTCTTGAGAACAACGGAGAGCAGTTGAGCTTCTGTAAAGGCTGGAGTAGGTGAAGGGGGTCGAAACTCTTCTTTAGGGCTAGCATCAAAAGTGAAGTCTTGAATATCTTGGTTCTCAACAGTCGATACATCTTGAAGTTTCTTGGTAACACGGCATGTAACTGAGCGGAAAAGCATCAGGACAGTCATGAAGAAGGCCATAAGAAGTCCTAAAACTCGAGCATGAAGACCTTCTACAGGCTTTTCAGAGCTTGCTGGTGGAAGCATCACTGGAAAAGGTAAATAGAGATGGAAATAATGTCAATAAACTGAAGAAGTATATCAAGACAACTGCTGTAGTAAGCCAACAAGAAGCATAATGTGTTCCAAGTTAACCTAGGGATTGTACACCTAAGAAAGTGAGCTTCTCTTTTTCCCATGATATGGTGCAAAAATCTAACCACCAGTTTAATTAACCTATATGAATTCAGCGATGCTTAGCTTCCTACCCTCCCCTTTTCATAGTGTGTGCATAAGCAGTGCATTCTCTTCTCAATAATTCTAACCTTTGGGTGTGGAGGGTCTGTGAAGGGATGGTTCCTTCTTCCATGCAGAATCAACAGCCTTGTCAACCATGGGAACATATTCATCATATCCTGGGAAGTTTGACGTGTAGCCAGGCATTCCAATAGTCTTAGCCTGTTTGATGGAGAGCAAAACTTAAATATGACAATAACAAATACAATATCCAACTTCGTATTCAAACAAAGATAGTGAATGCGATTAGCCTAAGTGACACAAGGTTGAAACACAGGCTCATCTTAAACAAGAACATCTAATATCAATTGTGGTTTGATGTCCAGAAGATTTTTTTATAAAGTGATGTCCAGACGATGCCCTTCCAGTAAGAGAAAAGCCAACAACATACATGGTGTAATCCCACAAGTGAGGTTTGGGGAGGCTAGGATGTACGCAAACCCTACCCATACCTTTGTGAGGTACAAAGAAGCTGTTCTGAATAGTCACTCAGCACAAAAGAAGTGAAACACTAAAAGAAAACCAACTCATGAAATTAAGCAAAAATGGAAAGTATACCTCTTCTCGTACAGGAGTAAGCCGGAGATGTGAATAACTCCTTAAAGCTTTTGGGGAAGCAATATCTTCAGCTTCAGATCCAGATTCAGCAGTAGAGGTGTCACTACTACCTTTCACCTGCAAAATAAAGAATATGAGTACCAACCTTCCGAAAAAGCAAACAATATGGCGTATTTCTTAATAATTTGGAAATGCGGCAGCAATCCTACCGTTGGGTAGCGAGGCTTAGCATAAACTATCTTTCCTTCACTATTTAGAACTTTAACAAGCTGCTTGGCACGTCGTGCTTCACCAATCATCTACATCCCAAAAATAATGGTGGGGGGTAGGGGTGGGGTGGGGTTACATTAGTTTGATATAATAACATCTCCGAGTCACCAAAAGAGATGGTTTCTCATTTTTAAAAACATCTTGGAGATGAGCATCTTCCTGAAGATGTGACGAACAGAGCATTATCAGAAAATAACGTTACATCGGCCGTGTAGGCCTTGAAAGTACCTTCAATATATCTGGATTTTGCCATGGTCCTTTATCTGAACGCATGCAACCTCCTCGATCTGCACATGTACAGCTACCACCTATGAAATCTGGCAACTCACTGCATAAAAATTCAGCAGAAAAACATTGAACAAATTGTCAGCAATTCTACTAAACAAATAAATATAAAAAAAATTCCTTGACCAATGGATAAGAATTCAGTTCCTTTTACCTAGCATCAATTATTTCAAGCAATTTATTCTGATACTTGTTCCCAAGAACCTATAAGAGACATCAAAACAAAAGTAATGTAAATGCAGCCATATTTTTTAAAACGGAGACAACACAAGTGGAGAAAAGCATTGACAGACATGTATCTTGGAGGCCGTCTTGGGGTCCAGAAAACTCTTAACAGTATTCCAGAGAAGCCTAAACCCAGCCCCGGCGTTGATTATGAACATCTGATTAAGCGTCTGCACATATCAAAAAAATGTGTAAATGATCCCACAGTTAAGTGACCCTCATTAGTAATATTTATTCAGGTGCGGATAAAATCATGCCTCGGGATAATTATCACCATCAATCTTCTGGAGCCGCAAAATGAGCTCCCTTGCACTCTTGCTAAAGTTTTTCAAACCCTGAGAAACCAATGTTTAAGAATAAAGATAGGAATAACACCTTGTTCGCACAAAAACTGCTTCTCAAATCTCATCAAGGTTAGAGAAAGAACAACCGACAAAAGTAACTTACCACTCCCTGAACGTCCAAAATAGTAGTGCTACAATCGATCTGCCTTTTAGCAGCTATTGTACAAGCTGGAAACTTGATCGAAAAACATTGCTCGAACTCCCTTACGTGGTATTTTATATAACGATCCATGGTTGTCACTTGCATGAGTTTGTTAGGATCAACTTTCCCTAATCTTTCAATGTATACTGGTCTTCCCTCCTTATCAATCCCATGATAACCTTGGGGATAATATTTTACAACTTCTTCCAACTCCGGGAATTCAAAATCCTGATGAATAATTAAGTGCAAAAAGCATGTCAGTCTAAATGATTCAACAAAGATATTGTAAATATATAATAGAGAACGTTGTCCTAGACTATGAATAATTAAGTACAGAAAGCATTTCAGTCTAAATGATTCAACAAAGATATGATAAAATAATATAGAACATTGTCCTAGACACCTAGCCAGTACATGGGGAGGAATAATATTACCTCCGTGATTGTGTCAGCCCCAAAATCCTTCCTCCACTGAAGCATATCAGCCCACATATGCTTGGCTCTCTCGATATCAAACTTTCTTGCTTTTAAGAACCTGGACATACATAGCACAATTGTTAATAAATTGGAATGCTGCTAAAACTGGACAACACCAAGAAGAAACAACCAGAAAACTCCAGATCCCGCTTAATTCTCCATATGCCTGCATGCATCTATGTATAGATTTAAATATCTATACTCACATTTGATCTATCTTTTGTTCCAATTGTGGCAGGCCTGTAAGAAAGTCTTTTAATGAAGTTGACAAACAAATCCAATTTCCACAAAAGATCCATATAAATAAAGTTTCAAACATCGAAGATAAAATCCAAATGTCTCAAAACACTCAAAAGTATCACACTAACTCAATGCAGCATAAATCTTGCAGTATCACTTTTGGGCAGAGATACATGTAGATGTGTTACAGGTAGGAGGACATTACCTCAACATCATATAGTAGTCATCGTGTCTTTCAGGTAACAACTCATCCAAAAGTAATGATTGTCTAAACTGATCAACAGCCTGTAGCTCCTCAGCATCCCGAATGTCCTCGATGGAAAGTGAGCTCAACCGTCCATTGCTTTTTCTTCTACTACTTTTCTTCTTAAGAGAATGTTTGAATTTCGTTGATGCATTCAATGCTTTCTTTTTCAGGGAACCAATTCTCGTCCTCCTCTCATCCTCTGAATTCTCAAAATCGGACTTTCTTTCTCTTCTCTCATCATGTGTAGATGACCCCTCAAAGCCTGTAAGAAATTAAGAGCACGAAAATCAACTCCAGACTATCAATTAGTATGGAAAACAAACTAGACCAAACAAGTCCTCGGAACAAGTCAATTCGAATTCACCAAATAAGTTTGTCAAACTCATCTAAAAGCTCATTGCCATTTAAAAATCAACATAAAATTAAGTAACAGTTCCTCTATACTACATGATCTTCCAATTTTCTTTAGTGTTTCTTTACATCTTCAGAATAATAAAAACTTGCAAGCAATTGTATCTTATGCCCTAAACATAAACAGACAGGACATAACCAAAAACAAGGCATTCGTTACATTTTTTTCCATTGAAATTCATTCTTCTCAAAT